AGCGGGACCAGAGCTGTGAAATGCCAACAGTTCAACACCAGGGCTCGCTTACTTTGCACCAACTACACCTGTGACTGCATCACTTACCTATAAGGACAGACCAGAGGCAGTGGATGCATGCTAAGGACCCTCCCTACAATATCATGTACTCTATCTCTTTGATGTGCATATATGTGCATGTTCAGGTGTGTGTGCACATGTTCATGCGTGGGGACTAGAGGCAAACATCAAGGGTCTTCCCTTATCATTCCCCCTTGTACGTTTTGAGTCAGGGTCTCTCTTTAAACCCGGAGCTCACCGATTGGCTAGACTGGCTGGCCAGTGATATCCAGAGATCTAGGATGCCTTTCTAAATCCCTCACTCTGACTGTAGGCATCACAGAGTCAGGCTGCCAAGTTGCCCAGCTTTTATGTGGGTGCTGGGGATCTGAATTCTGTTCCTCATGCTTGTTTTTTTTTGGAGGGTTGCCCTTTTTATTTTCTTGTTTCTTACCGTATACCTAGTGTTCAGAACAATGCCTGGCATATAGTAGGTGCTCAATAAAGTTGTGCTGGCAAGCACTTTACCCACTGAGCCACGCCCAGACCCCTCATTTCACTTCTTTTGCCATTCCTCAGCTCATGACTTCTTCCCCCTGGGGTAGTATTTCTAAATTTTAGTGACCTTTGTTCATTAAATATTAATCCTGTTTATTTATGCAACTTTTCTCTTGTCATATTTTTTTTCTTTTTTCCCTTTGCTTTCTGACACAGGGTCTCACTATGTGCCCCTAAGTTGGCCCAGACATCAATATGTAGACCAGACAAGCCTTCAGATTTGTGGAGATCCTCCTTTCTGTGCATCCTAAGTGATAGGATCACAGGCATGAGCCACCAAGCCTGGTTATAATTTACACTGTAAGGCCCCGAACACAAGGGCCTTATGCAGGCCAGGCAGGCTCTCTACCTGTGAGCTATCTCCACGGCTTGAACTTTTAAAATCTGTAGTCAAACCTATTGGTTATCTTCCCTATGCTGTCTGATTTTTAAGTTTGTTTTCTGTGATGCCGAGGACCCAGCCTGGGGCATTGTACATGCTCAGTACATGCTCTCCTGAGCCCTGTGCCTCAGCCCTGGGTCATCATGTGAAAAGACGCTCTTGTGTCAGCCATTTCAACTTCTTACTATTTCCAGTCAACCCTGAGACTGTAAGCCCTAGAGGGAGGCATAGTAATCCAGGAAATGAGTCTGCATGAAGAAGCATGAAAACCGTGTCGAGGCCACATATCCTGAGTCCTTCTCCTCAATATAAAGGGGCCTCACTCGCTATCCTAGTGCCCAGGCAAGGTTGGTCATCAAAGCTAGAAGGACTGTGAAGAACTGTTTCTGTTGTTGTTGTTGTTGTTGTTGTTGTTGTTGGTGGTGGTGGTGTGTGTGTGTGTGTGTGTGTGTGTGTGTAGAGTTCAGAGGATAACTTTTAGGACCAGTGTTCTACCTTGTTCTGAAGCAGGATCTCTCTTATAGTTTCTGCCCATCCCACATGCCAGGGTAGTGACTTGTGAGTTTCTGGGCAGTTTTCTGGTTTCCATCTCTCATCTTGCCTCAGCAGTGTTAAGATAACAGATGTACGACATCTCACCTGACTTTTTCTATGGGTTATAAGGACCTGGCCCAGGTTGTCCGGGTTAGGCAGCTGCTGAGTCAGCTCAGTGGCTGGAGAGACCATTTCTTTCATCTTTTCTAATTTTGTATTTAAATTAGAATCAAGTTTGTTTTACATGTCAATCCCAGTTCCCTCTCCTTCCCCTTCTCCTCTGCCTCCAACTGACCTCCTATCCCATCCCCTTTCTGCTTCCCAGGGAGGTTGAGGCCTTCCATGGAGGATCTTCAGTCTGTCATATCCTTTGGAGCAGGGCCTAGGCCCTCCCCTGTATGTCTAAGCTGAGAGGATATCCTGTGTGGAATGGGCTCCCAAAGTCCATTCATGTGCTAGGGATAAATACTGATCTACTACCAGAGGCCCCATAGATTGCCAAGGGAGAGACAATTGTTAGACCCAACATCCACCAGAGTCTAGTAATTTGCCCAAATGGCATATCAGAGTCACAAGACCCTCTCAGGCCACCATCCCTCTTGAGGACCCAGCATAGCCTCTTCGGTTTGTGTGCTGTCAATGTGGACCCTTCTAGAAGAGGAAGATAGGCTTCTTAGCTTTCCAGATTGCTGGAAGAGCAGATAGGATGGAGTGAGCCTCGGTTCACCCTTCTCCCTGGAAGAACCACCTGGATCCTGCTGAAGCTGTGGTTTGTCTGCTGCTGGTCCCATTGCCTACTCATACCCCTCTCCTTCCTCACACCTCCAATACTGCCCCAAACAACGAGCATGCTGGGATTCCCAAGGACATCTGCTGGCTGCTCCTGGCTTGTAGAGGACAGTTTTATTTGCATGGATGGACAAGACGTTGGAATTAGCAGCTTCCAAGGCTGCCCAGAGCCCAATTCTAAGGGGTGTCTGAGGGAACTCTGCTTAGAAACTGGCGGACTTTGTGCTTTCCACCACCCCTGTGGTCTGTGAGACTGCAGTCTGCTGATTTCTGTATCTTAACAGCATTGTATGAGTGAGTGGGAGTGGGGCCTGAGAGACTGTGATGAGCATGGAGTTCTGCTCTCATGGAAAAGGTTTCTCTGTCCAGGGTCGGCATCTTCACTCTGATTCCCTCCTCACCATAATTATCTATCTGTCTGTCTGTCTGTCTGTCTATCTTACACACACACACACACACACACACACACACACACACACACACACACATTTCTCCACAAATTCTTCAGTGTGATCAGGGGCAGAGGCAGGCAGAACACATTGGTCCTGATGCAAGGACACCAGGAGGAAGGAAAGAGGCAAGGTGAAGGTTGGCAGCCCTGGCTCATCACGTGTCTGCCCCCTACAGGCCGTGCGTTGGGCCCAGCCTCCCAGGTCCTCAGTCCAGCGTGTCCATGGGGTACATGCCTGCAGACCTCACCAGGAGATGCCTGCCTAGCAGCTGGCCTCCAGCACACAAGCAACTTCTGCACTCTATTTCCTGGAAGACTGTCTTGAGAGGGAGGCATGGAGGAGATAAAGAAGGAAGGCCCCCAATCCCTGGAGCAGGCAGAGGCCTGGTGGCCTCCAGGGCTGTCAAGGAGTCATGGGAACCTTAGACAACTGTCATGGGAAGGGGCCCTTACTTCTGTGGCCCCAGGGTGCTCATAGCAGGCTTGTGTCCTCCTGGCAGCAAGAATGTCCATCTGTCCTTACAAAGGACATCATTCAGCTCTCCTAGCCTAACTTCATGGAACCTTAGACACACAAAGCCCTGGAAAAGCTAGACCAAAAATATTCTAGACTGGTGTGCAGGGAAACAGGCTCTGAGAGAGAGCATCTCAGAAGGGACAAAGGTGCTATGACCTAGGTCTCGTGGCTTGCAGCTGCTGTCACTCCTATATCAGAATACAGGCAAGCAAAACTGCTGGATCTAAGGGAGGCAGTGGTCTGTGAATACTCCCCCCCCCTCCATCTAGCAGGCCCCGCCCCTCCACCCACCCTTGCCATGCAGCAGGAGGGCCCAACTCTCATCAACACCTCTGCAGATGGTGACAGATCCTGCTGGGTCCTGGGGGTGGGGGAGCGGGTTCACTCCTCAGTCATAGGCAGAGGAGGAGTCTCTGCAGAGCTGGCATGTCTAGGGCTGGGAAGCCCTGTTCTCACCTCCTAATGAGACAACTTGTTAGGCAGGGACCACAGCCTGCAGTGGGTGAGGGTTGTGGCAGAGAAGCGAGGCTTGGGGTCTTCAGGAAAGAGCTGCCCTGGTGAAGGGAATAATACCAGCACCAGGACAAAGGCTGAGGGGCCCTGGGGATAAATAAGGGAGTTGTGGCTCCTGCTGTGGTCACCCCTACAGTACCATGGCGCTGAGAATCTAGTTAAGTAGCATGCATTAATGTTTCCAGGGCTAAGTCATGCTCTTTCATTTTTCCTGTGCCAGCAGGCAGGAGAATGGAGCAGAGTGATGGTTCCTGTCTGGCCCCAGCCCTCGCTGCCCCATAGGATGGATATGAGATGGCACAAGTGGCCTGAGGTGAAGGTATAGGGAAGAAGAAAGGTGGCAGTCACTAGGACCTGAGGAGAAGGTGGCTTTGAGGAGTTAGAGCAGAGGCACCTGCAGAAGCTTACGGAGGGACTGTCCTTACAGCTAAGGTGGGCTGACCACTGCTGCTACAGGGGACACACCAAAGGCTAGGAAGAAGCAAGAGAGACCCTGAACGATAGGCAGTATATGAGACAGAGGTAGGAAAATATGGCTTCATAGGCTATTGTTGTGTAGTTCAGGAAGCAGGGCAGTGTTACAGAGAAGAAAAGTACTGGCAGGAATAGACAGCCAGGCCTAGCCAGCCTACAGCCCACGTGCTGTGTCCAGCCTCCTGCAGTCAAGCCTCTGTGAGCACAGTCCGGCACAAAGTAATAGACTTACTTAAACATACAGTTGGGTTTTTTAGCTTTATTATTTGTAGTTTATCTACTATTATTGTGTATGTGTGAGTACAGGGCATGCATGTGGAGAGAAGAAAGCTACTTTAGAAGTCAGTTTTCTCTTTCCACCATGGGTTTCTGGAATCTACCTCAGGTCATCAGGCTTACACAGCAAGGGGCGAGCCAACTCACTGACCCAGTTGCTGTTTTACACGAAGGTCTCATGTGAGCCAGGCTGGCCTCACACTGGAGGAGCTGAAGATGACCCTGAACTTCTTTCTGGTTCTTCTGGTCCTCCTTCCTCTACCTCCTGAGGGTTGGGATTATAAGTGTGCACCACCATCGGCAGTTCTTAGGAAATTTCTTCCTGATTTTTGCTTTGTAAGTAATATGTGGTTTCCTAGCCAAAATCACAATGTCAAAGGCTCCCAAGTGCTTAGCAGAGGTGATGGGTGATGGAAGAGAGAAGTTTTCTATCAGAAGAGTCCACTCAGCCCCGGCTCTCCCCACAGGTTCCTGAAGAACCAGGGGACCCCCAGGATCCAGATCCTGACACCAACTACCTGGCTCCCAGTAATAAGGAGACTATTGTGATCACTCTGCATGGAGCTACCAACTTGCCTGCCAGCAAGGATGGCTCTGACCCATGGCCCTATGTGGTGGTGTAAGTAACTGTGGAAGCCGGGGTGGGGTGGGTCTGTGAACAGAAAGCATCTGATGAATATTTGGAAACTGAGCTCCTGAAGGGACTGTGGTACCCAGAGACGTCATACTAAGGCTGTGAGGTAATTGCTGTCAGGGCTGAGCAGGGCCTGACCTTACAAGTGCAAGGCCCTTGTCTATAGTGCCTATGCTGGGCTCAGTGTGGGGTGGGGATGGTCAGGGGAAACGTTATAAGCACAGATCTGACTTCCAGGGCATCTCAAGTTTGTCCTAGGGAAAAAATTGATGTAAGGACACATACTTAGAAATGGAAACAGCACTTCTAAGAAGGGAATGGGCTCGTGAACTGGAAAGGCAAACATGGAGAAACTCAGGTCATCACCATCTACTGGACATTTACGTCTCACCTTATATAGGGTGGGCTTTCTTCCTGGAATGCTGTTTGTTCCATGAAGTCTGGGTGGGGAATTGCCTTCTAGTCTTTCTCTGCCAACTGGCTCTTCCACTACTTTAATCTTTATGCAGCTTTCTGAAGTCCTTCCTTGCTCTCCTGTCACAGAAAGACTTGGAGTCTGCCTCTCCTGGATTTTGGGGACCCAAGAGGTGTGCTGCTTTTAGTCACCCTCTGAGGGTCCTTGCCTCTCCCTAATCATTTCTGCCATGGGAGTTCTACTCCTTTAATGCATCTCTGTCTGTCTGTCTGTCTGTCTGTCTGTCTGTCTGTTTGTCTCTCTCTCTCTCTCTCTCTCTCTGCATACTTGTTATTCAACCTGGTGGCCAGGGCCCGCCATGCCACATCTGCTGCTCCTCAAAGAGCATATGAAGTAACACCGCACAGCCAGCCAGCTTTCCCTCTGGAGGGAAACTAGCATTGTGCTAGCATGGGGACTTTTGGCTTCTGTGACCTCCTACAGTTCTACCTGACACCTCCCTGCCTGCACCCCTGCCTGTAGCAGACACTTCCTGCCCACACCTTTGGAGAATGCCTGCCCCAGCCCACTAAATCTTCACCTTCCTTACACCTCCTCCTCCAGGCAGCCAGAGAGATCTACCAGAGTAGATCCCCTAGCATTGGCAACACGTGTGTTTCACGTCTGTGCCCAGAACTGAGGCTTCTTGCAGACCCCCGGTCTCATTCTGCATTTCTCCAACAGTGCACCCAACATGGTCCCAGACTAATGGTCCAAGGATGCAAAGCTTGGCCTAGATGACAAGCAGCCCTTCTCACATCCCCTCCCCCACAAGGCACAGAGGGTGCTGAAGAACAACAGGTGGAGCTTTTGCCTGGTTTGCCCAGGAAAACCCCACCCGCCCCAGCCCAGCTTCTTGCCCTCCCCTCCCCCAACCCCATTTCTTAACCAGAGAAGGACAGGTGGCTGAAAGCTGGCTTGGCGGGAGGCTGGTTTCTATTGGGAATGTCCCTCAGCTTCTCAGCTATTTCCATAAACCAATTATCACTGATCATCTCAGGAGATTGAGGCCCTGCTTGTCACCAGTCCAGCCTGGGATGTGGAGGGGAGGGTAGCTGGATGGCTGTGTTGCTCCAAGACCCCTGCACCATCACCCTGTTGCCATAGGAACACGCGAGGGAGGGGAGTCTAGGGACCGTGAGCCTGGATGGGACTGTAAAGAGCTGAGAACATCCTAGTCCCTCTGACCCTACGGCACAGCATGTAGGACAGAAAGTGGAAGGCTTATATTCCTACTCCCCTTTTCATGATGGGAGCAGGGCCTGTGCCAGGCTACAGCCTGGTCCCAGAGCTCCAAGCTGAGCTGCCAGCAGCTCCAAGTGGTGCTAATGAGATGCAAATGAAAAGGGGAAGGGAGGGCTTCTGGGAATGAAGGCCCAGCTGCCAGGACCCAGAGATGGCTTTCAGTGCTAACCCCCAGTTCCAGGTAGGAAACCCAAAGGGAGGACCAAGAACTCACAGGCCCTAGAGTTGGGTCCCAGACCCTAGAACAAATTTGATGTCTTCCCCTGTCTGACTACAATATAGGACAACAAAGCATGCAGTGAGAAAGTCCACTGAAGTCTTTTCTCATATGGGTATTTCAATGTGTGTGCTTTTTAATTATAAACATTTGAATGTAAAATCTGAAGCTGTTAAGCTCTAGAAGTAAACAGTTTTCCCTAGGATCCTTACATTGGTCTTGGCAATGATTTTTTTAAAATTTGACATCAAAAGTATAAGCAATGAAAGCAAAATAAACAAGTGGGTGACGAGAAGCTGAAAAGCCCTGTGCAGCAAAGGAAAACCACCACTGACTTGAAAAAGCAGAGTGGCCTAAAACACGTGCAAACCACACATATAATGAGGAGTCGATGCCCAGAGCATATGGAGAGCTTACACTCCCCAGTACCAGAAAATCAACTTGATTTTAAAAGGGCCCTGCTATGATAACATACACCTTTGATCCCAGCTACAGGAAGGCAGAAGCAAGCAGATCTCCGGCAGTTCAATGCAGTCTGGTCTACAAAGTGAGTATCAGGACAGTCTGCAATACACAGTGAGACCCTTTCTCAAAGCAAAGAACTAGAAACAGGCAAAGAAGGCTGGAAGTATAGCTATGGTAGAGGGCTGGCCTAACATATGCCAAGCCCTGGGTTTGTTCCCCAGCACCACACAAACTTAGCATGATGGTACACACCTGTAATGTCAGCACTTTGTCACTGAGGAAGAGCAGAAGTTCAAGGTCATCATCTTGGCTGCATAGTGAATTCAAGGCTAGCCCACGTTGCGTGAAAATGTCAAAAAGAAAAAGCATACAGTTGGGTGACAGGTGTAGGAAAAGGTACTCAATGCTACTAATCACCACAGATAGATATTCACTAGTCACCACAAATATTCAAATCAGAACTTGAAGGCCATTCCACCCATACCTCTTAAGTTGGCTGTTATCAGAAAGACAAGACGTATCCAGCACTGGGGCATTTGAGATGACTCAAGGTAAAAGTGTTTGTCACCAAGACTGACACCCTGAGTTCAAGCCTGGAACCCACATATACAGGAAAGAACAGATTCCCACAAGTTGTTCTCTGACTACACATACACCACGGCATGTGTGACACTCTGCCACATGAACACTAAGGTATATAAAATTAATTAATATTAATTAAATGTAATAAAAATTGCAAATATTGGTGAGGATGTGGAAAGAAGGAAGTCTCTCTTATGGCTAGAAATGCAAATTCACACAGTAGAAAACATTGTGGAAACTCCTCAAACATTAAAAACAGGATTAGCATAGATCTATCAATCCTACATCTGTATACATATCCAAAGGAAAGGAAGTCAGTGTCATGACGCAATATCTGCATTCCTGTATTGTTATAACATCATCACATGAAGATAGGGAATGAACATAAACATCTGACCATCAATGAATGGGTAAATAACACACACACACACACACACACACACACACACACACACACACCATACGTAACTTCCTCTAACATGGAAGATACAATGCTAAGTGAAATAAGCCAGGCATAGAAAGACAAATGCCACATTATTTCTTTTAATGTAGAATCTCATTGAACTTACAAAACAGAGAGTTAAAGAGTAGTGCCAGGGTCTAGGGAAGGAGAAAATAGGGAGATGTCAGAGTCCAAACATCCATGTATAAGGAGAATGCATTTGGGAACCTACTATAACTAATATTATATTGTAAAGTTTAAATGCAGTGAGTCTTAAGCATCCCCACCACATACACACAAAAGGATAACTGTGAAGGGGTGGATGTGTTAGCTTGATTACATGGTATCGTTCATCGTAGGTAAATATGTCAAATCCTGGTGCACACTTCTAATACATAGTATTTTTACTTTTCAATTATACCTCAATAAGGCCAGAATATACACATGCATTCATATATAACATCTTACTCCAAGCACTTTCACCATGTTTTCTGGTGTCCTGAGTCTAGTCATCCATCTTGGCTTACAGCACTCTGCCTGTCCACGCTGGCTCACCTCAGATCAGGGTGGAGACCCTGGGGTCCTTGTCTCAAACTCCTTCTGTGTCTTCAGCTTTATTGCTTTCCTAACAGGCAGATTTATAGTTGAGGTGGTAGACTGGGGGCATGAAGCCCCAGACTACTCTCTCATCTGTTTCACTAGCAGGAGCTGCAAAGGATTCAGGCTACTTCACCCCTCTGTAGACACGAGCCCCATCCAGTCCAGCTACCACAGCTGTCTAGCCCAACAGGTCCAGTTACTTGTTTTATGATTCTGCCCGTCTCTATTCAAGCCACCTTCCAATCTCACCCACTACCCCAGGGCAATAATTCTGTCTTGAGTCCCTTGTGGGCACTGTATCTCAACTACATCCGAGGGCATCTGGTTTGTGTGGTCTCCCAAGAGCACTAGCCTCTGGTGACCACTCACTGTCCTTACAGCCTTTTCTTCTCTTGACTTCCAAGATGCCCTGGCTCCCAATTCCTCTCTGGCTCCTCATGTCTGCTACATAGAACTACCTGTTGACTCACTTTAGTTTCCTCCAAGGTCGCACATTCCTAGTGTCCTCTATGCCACCTCGTGCCCCATCCTGGCATGAGGAATTACATCCTGACCCATTCACCCTGTGTCTAAGAGCACCAAAGCCCACCCCCACCTTGTGTCTTGAATTTGGCCATGTCTCTCTACCACCCAGCAGGCCACTGTTGTATTCCCACCTGCTCTAGATACATCCAATCTTGCCCCTTTGCCAACTTCCTTCTAAGGTAGGTTTCTCTTTGCTATTGTAGCATCAGAGTATCTAAGTGACCCCACGGCTCCTTGCTGTTCCCAGGATAAAGAGAACTCCAGGTTCACCATGGTTGAGTCTTCGCCCGTTGGCTCTTCCAGCTTCCCAACAGCATGGCCCTCTTTTCTATTTTCACTCCAGACATAATGGGCATCGTCTAGTTCTTAAGGAAACACTGTCCCTCCCTCCCCAAGCCTTTGCACTCCTCTTCCAACCTCACCTCCTCCAAGAAGAGACCCCTGATCTCCCGGCC